GTCTATAAATTGCATTTCCCAAATTTGATTTGCGGAAATGAACTTTAAGTGTATTCTCAATAGTCAAAAAATTTCATCTATGTTAATTTGATCACTGAATTTCAAATTAGTTGCGATTGGTCACTAAACTTTGATTTTAGTTTCAAATTTCATTACTTTATCACCTATCATCTCCCAAAGTGATGATAATTACTTAATTTTCAACCAAAGAATAACGGATTTCCATGTAATTGCTGACAATTAAATAAAGCTACGCTTATATTGTCACAGCCGGCCTCATTTTACTATTTTTATTTTTATATAGTCACACCCCCTCATTTTATCATTTTCAATTCGAGGGTGTGAGGGTACAATGCAACGATTACATGGAAAGATTAGCTACAACGTAATTGTCTGCTAACCAATTTCCGTCAATTCTGGAATTATGTGACATAGTATCGAATTTAAAAATAAACTGAAGCTCAATGATTCAATTGAGATTTTGATGTTACTTGAATGACGATGTCAGGGGAGAGAGTTTTTTGTTGTGTAATTTGAAGATGTCAAAATTCCACATTTGAATTTGTGTAACGATTAGAAAGTCTTGTCCCTGAAGAAAAGGACAAAAATTTATGGATTAGAGTATTTCTTGTGTAGTCTATTTTCAAAGTTTCGAAATTATATATTGTCTTCGAAGACTGACTTGTTAATTTCATGTTGACACTGTGCAATCAAACAATCAAAAGCTATTTTATGGAAATTTCTACAGTTTCAATTTGTTTATTTGACACTATGCAATCAATAAAAGTATATGTCTTATCATTTTTTCTATTATTTGTAATTTTAAGTTTTTCAACAGTTAAAGAATGTTTAGTTAGTTTTTGTTTCGCTTGTTGTGTCATTCTGAGGACATAGGCATGATTTGATGAGGTTGAGTAACATGGAGAGGCATGCAAAATTTTATGATTATTTCAGAGTAGGTACATATACTTTGCCTCCATTTAGCCCCCATTATTTGGAATTATAATTTTTGGAATAGTATTTTTTGGAGAATGAGTGGTTGAAAAAGAAAGAAAAAAATTTCAACTTACATGTAATATTATTTTACTGGAGAATATATAATTGAAAAGAAGAGAAAAATATATCATAATTTTAATGGGAGCCAAACGGGGGGCTTTTTGTTCATTTCAAGATTGCACCCAACAGATATTTATTTAATTATCATATGTTTGTTGGTTTTAATACTTTAATTAAAACTTAGACTAAATTATATCCCCTCCGTCCTACAAAGATAGATTTGTTTCCATTTTCACAGAGACTAAAAAAATGTAATTAATATAGTTGAAAATATAATTTTTTTTCCTTACATTTTTTTAATATATTCCTATATTAAATTATGGTCTAAATAGGAATAATTCATATTGTTATAACAAGCCACATTAAATAGGGGTATATTAAAAGAATTAAGAAATCAACTATACCTTCAACTAGGAAAGTGACGTATAATTAGAGATATATGAAAAAGGAAAGCAAGTTTTATGGAGGTAATATAATTTTTTCTTACAGTATATATATCAAGCTCTAATTTGCATTTTTCGTGACCATAACATTTATCTTTCCTATTGTCTACACCAAGTCCATTGACACCTTCCCTCTGTTATTTCTTTTGTATTCACAATTGTTGTGAATCCCAACTATTGACATGTGTGTTAGAAAATTTCTTCGTGATCATATTACCTTTTTGGATTTTAGGTCGTGTAATGTTTGGATTCTAGGGTTTTAGTGTCAATTTAAACACGGCTAGGGATGAGAAAAAGATGACAATGCTAAAATTGTACGCGTTCCAACAGTCAAATTAAAACAGAACAGAAGTATATTGGGTGAGGGAGAGGTACCGGAACAGCGAAAAAAATGTAATATAAGGTTTTATATTTCTAGAGTAAGACTATCAAATTCTTGATTACCTTCAAATATCACCACATCTAAGTATTTATAAGCAAAGAATGAGCTTGAGGTGTCTTAGAGGCTTAAAAGTGGAATCATTTACATTGATTGATATGTTAGCACCATATGGTTACATTCTCATCACAATGGTCCGTGACCTCCCAAACACTATCCTGATGGGAAAAAGCTATTTGTACCCTTGCAATAACATGTTGGTTGACACGCTGACGTGGACGGCAGATTAAAAAAATAGGAAAAAATATAGAAACTGGGCCGGTTTTAAAGTGGCGGACGGGACCCATTTCAAAATACCAAATAGGTTCAAACTTGCCGTAGATCCCCTTTTTAGTTTTGCCTACGAATTTCTTTTCCCTTTGCCTACGATTTCTCTCAGCCAAACCCATATTTTCTTGCCAAAAGGTTGAACTATCCAACGATGTGTTGATTTCTTCACTGATTTGTTACAGAAATCGAGGCATTTTGTTACCAAAATTGGGGGAATTGCTTAGCTGATTTCTCTCGATTTCTCTTTGTCGCGGTATTTCTTGAACTACCCAATACAGGGGTTAATTTCGGAAGTAAACAAGAAGTCAAAATCTGGTTCGATTCGAAGAGATGACGGACAAACGTATTCCCCTTCCTTATTGTAGTTTGATACTGCTGGGTGGAAACATGAACATGATGAATTAGCTCGATTCATTATTGTACATTGCAAGTTCAATTTTTCCTGACAAGCGAACATCTTCAAGTGCTATAAAATAGGTTATTTTTGTTGTACATAGCAAGTTCAATTATTGTATACAGCACTTATGATGAATTAGAAAATCTTTTGAGGCCATGATCATATCTATTAAATAATTGACGTATTTTATGTTGCAAATATATCTTCCCAATTATTTCACTTTAGTTTTCCAGGTAATAAGATATTGATTAACAATTTGATCTCATTAATTAATCTGTCAAAGAACTTCAAATTAGTAATCAAAGATCATTACTCATTCAGGATTGAAATCATATGTACGACAGTCAAGCGAAATTACATTTATATTGTCAATGTCACAAATTAGATTTTCACATGCTTCAATCCTTTAATCGAAAAGTAATGTCAACCTTATTATGAAAGATAAACTTTAATAAAATTGAGACAATTTTATCAAAATAAAGTATTCATCTTTATATACCAATTGCGGACTATGTAATTTTAGTTCAACATTATAAATATCGAATAATTCTTTGCTTAATAACTCAAGACTGATTTATAATATTAAAATGATGTATGAACAAATGCAAGCTCAAATTAACACAAATAATTTATAAAAAAATAAATTAAATACTTTATTTAAATCGTCACGATTACAGATAAATTTACTCTGCGATAAATGCTATCCAACAGAACAGTTAATCAATTTTTTTTTTCCTGCTACTATGCGAATGAAGCAAGCTTGACTCTTTATTTTGGCTTAACCCTAGCCAATGTGCTATACTTGATCA